CCCCGGCGCCTGGCCCCCAAGCAGAGCCCTCACCCCCCTCCCACCCCCCTACCCCAGCCTGAAGCTTCCTCCCACACCCATAACCCCTCATTTCTGGCCCCACCCTAGAGCCTGCACCCCCCAGTTAGAGCCCTCATCCCCTCCCAACCCAGAGACTGCACCCCCAGATGGAGCCCTCACTACCCCTGCACTCCATCCCCGTGCCTCAACCCGCAGCCCCCTCCTGCACCCTGAACCACTCATCCTCAGCCCCACCCCAGAGCCTGCACCCCCAGCAGAGCCCTCACCCCCCTCCCACACCCCTACCCCAGCCTGAAGCTTCCTCCCACACCCATAACCCCTCATTTCTGGCCCCACCCTAGAGCCTGCACCCCCAGTTAGAGCCCTCATCCCCTCCCAACCTCCTGTGCAGACCACTGAAAGTGAGTGAGGGTGGGGGAATGTAGTGAGCGGGGGACAAAGCCTCGGGGAAGGGGCGGGGCTACGGGGTTCAGTTTTGTGGGATTAGAAAGTTGGCGACCCTACCGAGGGGGCTGGCCCAGACCCACCCCCCCTCCCAAAGTTCCCGCCATGGCCCTCTAAAGAAGGTGCACCCCACACTTTGGGGATTTCTGGCCTAAGTCCTTTTGTGGATGTGAGCCCACAGAAGACACAGGAGACCTGTGGCTGTGCAGGAAATTTAATCCAGATCTCCGGCAAGTACCTTACCCACTGGAGCATCCTTCCTCCTCTTCAATAAAACATGAAGTTTCTAGGCCAGGCCTTTTATTTTTTGGTTATGCAATGTCAAAAAGCATTGGAAGAACCTTCACAAAGTGAAGAAGGAATAATTACTCACCTATAATGCTGCATTTCTGGAGATATTTAACTGGCTTTCAACTTGTGGGTCTCAGCTCTCTAACGTGATTCAGGCAACTAACGAGCTAAGAGCCAAGAGTAAATTCCTTCTGAATGGTATCTATAGAGAAGGAAAAATTAACTTGTAATTCTGCTTCTCTGAAGGTATAATTTCAAAGGAATTCTCATTCTTGGGCCTTAGCTCCTTATTGCTTTGTCTCACTCTACTGAGCTGAGACCCAAGAGTTGGAATATAAATATTTATAATAGTATCATTAAAGTATACCTATATTTTGCTAAGTTTCATAACTGAGAAATAGGTTGTCTGATTCCTCTTAACATTTCCTCTTAAAATTTCCACTAGCTGAAGTTCTGCATGCAAAATTTGAGAGACAAAAAATTCTTTCTGAAAAGATTTAGAATGGTAGAGTGGTGGCAAAATCAAGCTCTAAATGGAAAGCTGGTTGTAGCCTCTACTAAGGAGAAACTACTGTCTCTCTCTCTAATATAAAGCTAAAAGAAGGACAATTAAGAATATGACAAAGGCATGTGTAAAAAATTATGCCTTTGTGATTAATCTTGTACTAACAAGAGAATGAGATGTCCTTATAAAAGGAATTAAACTTTACAGGATATAAAAAAACCCAGTGGTGTTATAAAGTAACCACAACTTACACTTTTTTAAAATACTGCTTTCCACCATACTTTTAGTGAGTTTGTAAATCCTTTCCCATTCTTCTCAGCTACATACCCAGCCTTTTGCATTTCAGCCAGTCCTGGAGTGGTTTTAATTAATTATTAATCATTAATTCACCATCAGCAAATTAGCAGTTTAGAATATATCAAAGTTAAGAAGGTCGCTTGTTTTGCTAGCATTATCATTTCATGTTGGTTTCAGAACATTGGACATTCAGATATTGGCTGATGAGGTTAATTCCCCCCCTCCCCCCATTAAAGCATTAACCTTGTCTATAAACTCCCTATGAGAGTATCACTAAATTGCAAATACTTGTGGGAAATAAAATTCCTCATGAGGATTTGCAGTACTGCAAATTTCTTTATTAACATTGTATCATATTGCCATCTTATTTCCCCCTCTTTCCCCTACCCCCGTACCATCTACTCAAAACTACAGTGCAGTTTTTGGTGCTAGCAGTCTAAACAAAACACATTTTGAGCTGTATTGACTTCTTAATGCACTTGTGGAAATCCCATTTGTGTTAATGAGAGTAGTTTATGCACCTTGAAAGGCCAAATTCTACCTTCCATGCTATGGGGGAGGGGCAGAAATACTGGTTGGTACCTCCTAGGCTAATGAGATCCTGGTAAAACTCTCACTGACTTAGATGAATTTAGGATCAGAGCCAATTTGTAGCAGGGAACATATTGCAGCTCTTCGGAATAGGAAGAGTGTGCAGTGGGAGCAGCACAAACTTCCCTACTCCTACTTGTCACTGACGCCAGAAGTACAAACTATCAGACTGGTGTCTGGATATGCTGCTCATCCCATTCATGTTGGAACACGGGATAGCATGTTAGCTGACCTCACCTCTCCTAGCAGTCTGCAGAGGAGAGGCATGGTGAGGGAAGCTAACTCGTTTGCACAAACACACAGCAGCAGAATTCTTTAAGTTTGTGCGGGAGCCAAGGTAAAGGAGAAAGAAATGAGTCACTTTGAATGAATGCCATGAGGGTAATGATTGAAAAGATTCACAGACAAGGAAGCTTGCAGTGGCATAACAGGTATATTGAAAAACAATGAACTGTGCATAAAGAGCGAGCGAGGGGAGCAAAGGCAGGGCCGTATCAGACTCTCTGTAATGTGAATTTTTTTATCTCCAAATGGGGCTGCTGGAGATCAGATCGAAGACCACAAATTGTCAGCATCGTCCATTGCAATCGTTAACAGCGGCCCCAGGGCCAGTAGTGCTTCTACAGGTAAAGCTGCATTGGGGGCTGTCCAGCAGCAGCTCAGAGTAACCCCTAGGAAGGTTGAATATAGAATAGCAAGTGTTAATTAAGCCAGCCACCGCTCTTTTGACCCACGCGGGCGGGTAGGATCGCTAGTGGACAGCAGTGGCGCGTGCGGGCCGTTTCCCGGGCCGCGGATCTCTTGCCTCCTCCCCGCGTTATGAATGTTTTTCTCTGTCACGTGCCAGCGCCCAGTCCCAGCGCTCGGTATCAGCCCCCCGGAGGGAGGGGGAGTGCAGAGCGCGGGCGGGGCCCTGGGCCGGTGGCGGGCGCCGTTCAAACCCGGCAGCCGCTTGGCGCTCGGCTGGGCGGAAGGCGCCGCTGGCCGAGCCAGAGTCTTGCAAGGTGGCACCGAAACCCCGGCCCTGCAGGAGGGACAGGAGCGCGCTGTGTCCCTTCCAGGGGGTAGGAACCTGCAGCCCCCGCCATTGAGGCGGGGAACAGGGCTTAATCCCCCCGTTAATGTGTAACCCCCTGGGCTGGGGAGGAAGGGGGTTTAATGCCCCCCCATTACTGTGTAATTCTCCTCCTTCATTGGGGCAGGCAGAGAGCTTATATCCTACCCCCTTACTGTGTGACCCCCTCCACTGGCGCAGGGAGAGGGTTTAATCCACCACCCCCCTTACTGTGTAGCCCCCTGGGCTGGGGGAAGAAGGGGGGGTTTAATTACCACCTTCCCTTACTGGAGCAGGGAGAGGGTTTAATATCCTACCCCATTACTGGGGGTAGGGGAGGAGGTCTGTTAAATACCATACCTCCCATTACTGTGGGACCCCTGCGATTCAAATTCTTGCAGACTTCACAGTTGTTCAACTCCAAATCTGAATTTTGTAGCTTGGGCTCATCTCGCAACACTGTTACATGCTGATTACAGTTTGATGGAAAGTTTGGCCTGAAGCTCTTCCTGCAATTGGTCATGTAACTGTAACCCAGGCCTGATCTGGAGTTTTTACTGGTTTTGTACGATAAGCTGTTTCCTGAAAGCCTGCAGCACCCTTTGTTCTTTAAGGCCTTATCTACAACTGACTTTTTTTTCTTACACTACATTAGTATAGCTCTACCTATGGTAGCAACGGGGAGTGCTGCTTGACGCGGTAGTGTTTAAAATGCCCCCATCCAGTCTACAGCAGCTGCTACTAGTGAAGCTGAGAAACGCAAAATAAAAAAACCCCTTGTGTAGACATAGACTGAGTCACTCCTCATTTGCAGCTTTTTCCAGAACATTTTAAGAGGCTGACAAAATAGCGTGGTTGAAAGCTCCCAGATGTAGTGTTTTGTGCCCTATTGATTTGACTCAAGACTTAAGGCTCCTGTCTCTTATGTTACCGTACAAGCAGTATGTAGTTTAAGGGGCTCTTCAAAACTTGCTCCCAGATTTCTGCTACTTTTTGCTGTAATTCAACATTTTTATACTAAGTACTCTATCTTGCAGTCCTTACTCTGCCAATATATCTACTGGAGTCAATGGTCATTTTGCTGGAGTAAGGACTGCAAGATGAGGTACTAAATGATGTAAGTGTTTTGGAATCATGTTTCTTGTAAAAGGCATATTTGTTTACATAAATGTAAAACCTGAATCACTTTTTCTAAAAGCAACTTTTAAAAATTTCTAGAATACACCTGTTGGACGAACTAAATGGCTCCAAAAGGCAAAATAAAAAAAAGAAATACAAGTGCTGCCCTTGTTTGTCATCACCATCTTTGCAGGAAGATGCCGCTGGAGAGCAGGTGTGGTGTTAGCATTTTTATCTGAGGACTGGGGAAAGGGAATTGACTTTGTAATGTGTAGGAAGTTTATCCTTGGTGGCTGTTTTAACTGACATGTTCTATCCTGCATTAATAGCTCTTCTTGCTATACCCTCCAACTCACCTTGTAGTGTGATTTACACTTAAATTATGCTCATATGCACTTAGGGCATGACTACACTTGCAGATGTAGAGCTCTGAGAGTTAAACCAGCCCTCAGAGAGTGCAGTAGGGAAAGCGCTGCAGTATGTCGACACTGTCAGATTCAAGCGCACTGGCGTGGCCACATTAGCAGCTCTTGTGATGCCACAGAGAGCAGTGCATTGTGGTAGCTATCCCAGCATGCAAGTGGATGCAACGTGCTTTTCAAGTGGGGGTGGGGTGGAGTGTGACTGGGAGTGTGTTGTGTGTATGTGGGAGGAGAGAGAGTTGATTTTTGCGGGGCTGAGAGCATGTCAGCATGCTGTCTTGTAAATTTAGACAGCAGCAGACCCCCCCCTCCCCTGTGCCCCTCTCTCTCTCTCACACACTCACAGCAGCAACATTCCACACTAATGGTTGTTTTGTCCCGGAGCAGATAAGCATGCTGGCGGTCAGAAAGGGAGCTTTGAAAGGGGATATCTGCTTTCCTACAGCCAAGTTCAAAACAATGGCAAGAGTGGCCACTTGATTTAAGGGGATTATGGAACGTTTCAGTGCAGTAATGCAACACCTCGTTCACACTAACGCTGGGGCGTTTCAGCCAAGGTGCAGCAAGCATTATGGTTCTCGTGGAGGTGGATTACCAGGAGTGCTCCAGCTGCAGAGTCCAAGCGCACTAAGTGCCTTGCCAGTGTGGACGGGTTGTGAGTTAGAGCACCTGGGGCTGCTTTAATGCACTCTCTCTAACTTGCAAGTGTAGTGAAGCCCTTACACATCACCTCTGATTTTGGCTCTAACTTTTAATCTGGCCCTTTACGTGCAGACACATTCTTGAGTCTCTTACCTGGCTGGGGAAGATTTCCCAGCAGTGGATTCAGACTCTTCTTATTTCCATTAAGGGCTTCCTCTAAATTGTGGTTTCAAAGGAACAGCTCCATTCAGAATGTAGCCTGAAGAACTAGAGGGAAGTTCATTGGTGTTCTGCAGCCCTTTTGTACTGGCTAACTGCAGGGGGTATTTTTGTTTGCAGCAGAGGCATGCCTGTGGTCTGGAGTTCCATGGTGAGGATTTCCTTTATGCCCCAGCTGTCATAGGGTTTTGTCTACTCTGCAATGTAAGCCAGGGCATATAGAACTTGAGATATCAGACTCTGGGTTCTTTAAGGCTTGAGTGTCTGTACTTATTTGTAATACCAGGTTAGGAATTGTTGGCACCTGAGGCTCCAGTGTTTACACTGCATTATGCAGGCCTAGTCCAACCACCCATATCCCAGACTTCCTAGTGCCCTCCCAAAATGTGGCTGCTCTGGCCCTTTGTTCATAGTGCAGTGTGGAAAAACTTGACTATCCAGAGGACAAAGGAAGTTGGCTGTGAGATTGTGAAATACTTTCGGCAGACTCCCAGAGCACAAGTCCTGTGGGGCTGTGTCCACACTGTAAAGCAATAGGGCTTGAACCCTGAATTCCAACATGACTTCTCCCCACCCACCCCCCACCCCGGATCAAGCCTAGGGCCCAGGGTCAGTGTGAGTTGGATGTAGATGGAAGGGGGGTTAGACTTGAGACTGAGTTCGAACCCTGAGCTTACATTGCAGTGTAGTCATACCTACAATGTCTATGGGGCCATGAGAGCTTAAACCCAGGCTGAGTTTTGCTTTAACTTGACCTGCTGTCTTAAACTAGCCCTGGGCCCCATGAGAGGGGGAGTGAAAACTATTTCACACCCCAGGCTCTGTAAGGGCACATTGATGAGTCCAGTCTTTCGTAGCCCTGAAACTTCTCAGAATGGATCTCCGCAGCCATCCCTTACCTAGGCAACTCCCCTCTCCTTCTTTCTCCTTATTTTCTGGCAGACATAGTTGTCTCAGAGCTTTACTTGTATACTTTCTGATACAAGAAGTGAAAGAGGCCATGATCCTTCCCCTTTGTGATATTTTGAGGCTTTCTACCATATTCAGGAAAAATCCTACATATGCTATTTACCCAGATCCTAATAATAAAAAAAGTGGTGGGAGGACTTCCCAAAGGGAGAAATTGTCTGATGTTCTGGAGGTTGGCAGAGATCCCCCACCAAAACTAATGAGATTAAAATATATGAGCTTTACGAAGATAAAGTTCCTGATTGTTTTTTGTTTGGTTTGTCTGTCTTTTGGCTGTGCTTAACTCTGGGGAGAAGGGAAAATCTCAGGTTCCCCGTTCTACACATTACAGGCTGGAAACTTAGCTGCTCTACCAGACCATCTTCCCACTCCATCCAATCATCCCCATTTTTTTACTATTCCCAAGCTTGCCCCAATATCCAGGCTGTAGCTGCAGCCTCCCGGTTTCTACTTAAACTGACCCTGGCTGGGTTCTGCTGTTCCCCTACTCCAGATCCCTCCTCCCACTCTCCTCTTTATTTATGCCTATATCTGCCCCGTTCCAAACAGCACCAATCTGGGGCAAAATATTTTAGGAATAAGGGGGTTAATAAGTCTTATCTACTGCACAAGAACACTGGAATTTTTGACAACCTCTCCAGAATAGATAGTGCTGCAGGCACAAAAAAAGACTATTATCCAGTTAGATTGATATATTTCCATAAAGTCAAACTAGACTAAACATATGGTTCCAACAAGAAGGTTAACTTAGCCATTTTTCAACTCCTGTGTATTTTATGGTATATGTCTTATGAGAACAGTCTCCTAGTGTAGGTGTATGTAGAGTAATCCAGTCCTGAGGTGTCTTGAGATAACTGTAGCAATGCCCATCTTTAGAAGAAAATGTCAATCTTCTAGCCAAATGCAGATTTCAAGGAAGTGATGTTTTCCACTACTGCAACCTTGACATTCTTGGTTATATTATAAAAATAAAAGAATGCTCTTATCTAATATTTTCTGGGTAAATTACTATATTAGTGATTTTTTCCTGGCTGCAGCATCAGTACCTATGTGCCAAAAACTACCTAAACCACAGCCAATTAAAGATATTCAGTGTGAACAAATTAACACTGCATTAATGTAGTTTCCTTGAATTTAATACATCATACATGCTTGTCAGAGAATGTATGAAAAATATTTTTTTTGCCACAGTGCAGATGTGGGAGCAGCACGTCAGATTCAACTTTTCCCATGGCTTTTGTAGGTTTGTAGCACTTATTATACACATGATGTGATGTGTTTGGATTATGGGAGCAGAGAACAGCTAGTATGTGCTATTGTATTAACACTGTTTCGTAGGTTACTGTATATTGGATAAGTTTGTTACATTACTTATATACTTAATATCTTTTTTTTTTAGCTTACACAGTTTGAACCAGATGAAGAAATTAAACTTTTATATCAGTTTGGAAGCTATCTTGATTACATAGAAACTCCCCGAAAAGATCATGGCAAAGTGAAAGGCAAATCCAAAAAGCATGGAAGAGAATGGAAGACACAGGAAATGGAAAGGAAAAATAAGCCTGATCTTTGCAACAGAAAGGAAAATGTGGGTTTGTGTGAAGAAAACACTGCCAATGACACTGATCTTAAAAAGAATAAAATTCTTAAAAAGAACAAACATGATACTAAAGCAAAAAGTCATTTGGATTCAACAAAAAAAACCTTTTGCAATAAGCAAAACTCCTTTGTCCCCTGGCCTTTTGTTGAAAAGAAAGCAAAGAAAATAAAGCTATTTCAAGATAACAAAGTAATTGATGGTAATGAAGAGAGCTCTAAAGAGGTATATCACAAACAATATTCTAAAAATTCCAGAATGGTTCAGAAGAATAATACTCAAGGCAAACAAAAACGTCTTTGCCTTCCCTCATCACATAATTCTTTTGTAACTGAGAATGGTAAACACAATGAATTAAGTTGTAGAAATAGTTCTTGGTCTCAGACAACTTGCAAACGTGAAGGTCTTGATTCTAGTGTGCATTACTTTAGTGGTGGAATCATAGCAGGTTTTAAAAAGCATAGGAAATTGGATAAGGAAGTCCCTGTTGGCTGTTTACTAGGCTCCAACACTACTGAAATAAACAGCTGCACTAGTAGTACAGAGCCTCTTTTGTCATCTAGTCCAGCAGCTCTGGAAATTAAAACTTATGACTCAGAAGATGAATTCAATGTGGAAACCCTGAGGGATAAGGCAGCTTCTCATATGAACTCAAAAACTGAAGCAGTATGCAGCAGCGTTGATCTTAGTCAAGAGCTTTTTATAACCCAGAAGTCTTTTTTACCAGTGCAAATTCCCAATAATAGCAGTACTTGCTTATCCCTCTACAGTCAAAACCATGCTAAAGATGCAAGTGTAGAAAGAAAGTTTAAACAAAAAATCTCTACAGATACTTTAGAATTTTCTCAGATGTCTTCAAATAGAGAAACATGTGATGAACACAGTCAGTTTTCTCAGAACGGTTTGACACCAAGTAGGGGTAGGAAGTCAGCTACAAGAGAATGTGCAATTCAGACAGAAGACTTTTTCAGCTCTCCAGCACTTGCTTCCTCCTTAAGAATGAGAGAGAGATTTACAGATTGCCATGAACAACCACTGGACCTCAGTTTGCCTTACAGAATTAGGTCAAGTGCTGAGAATACAGGAAGGCTGTCCTTGGGGGGTGCAGGTGATGGTGTTCATGTATCTGCCAAACACCCATTAGAGCCTGTGTGTCATATAGAAAATCATCCTGCTGGTCCAGTGTTTGAGGAGGAAAGAGAAAATCATGTGTTCACTCAGTCTCAAAAATCAGATGAGGTGAAATACATTCAGATGCTGCTTAATTCATCCTATTTCTTTAAAGTGAAAGGTGATTCAGATAATATAGTTTCTAGAACACAGTTAGTGAAGCCAAAGTTAGGAAACAAAAAAAAGAATAGTTGTAGACAGTACAAGACAGGAGAAATCCTAGCCGAGAAGGGTATTAGTCCTACACATCTGAATAAATAGTGTGCCTATAGACACATTCTTTATATATTTTTTTTCAAAGTGATTTTTTATTTCAAAGACTGCTTTATTCATTATTTCAGAACAGCAGAAGATAGCAGGTAGGCTGGAAAGAAGTACATTTGAAATTATAGCAGGTAAAGTTTTAATTTACTTTACTGAATTCAGCCTTCACACTGGGCCTTTTCCCCACAATAACTTGCATAACTTACACCATCTGTGCTGCTTATCTATTTTCACCTATCACCTGTTAAACTACACTCATGTTGTAGCTTTAACTTTGGACCAAGTAATCCTGTGTATTATGTATGTTGTGAGAACATATCTTCTCATAAAACTTCAAAGTGAATAGTTTAACGAGATCCTCAAATGAATCATATACTACTCAGTTACTATGTTGTTCTAGGTTAGGGTTAGCTGTAGTCTAAGTCTGTAATTGAAAAGAAAGTTGTTTTATTTCCCCCAAATTTATACTGCATAATTCAAATAAATAGGGAAGGTGTTTAATCAAACATTACAAAGAATGTAATGTTTTTTTATTGGTGCACCTATAGCAGCACCTATAATGGTGAACAAGGACAGTCATGAAAAAAGACACAACTGTGTATCTCCTGGTGAAAGAATGACACCTTCAGGTTCTGACCTAATTTATTGTAGAGTAGGTCAGGTAATATTTTTTTTGTTTCCCTTTTCTAGACATACCTGGCAAGCTGGCACTTATCTAGAAATGTGTGAAATACTGGTTGTTCTGGGTTGCCTCAATCAAATGCAGTACTGTTCAGATTTTTTTGGTATCTACTTGACTTCAGATTTGTTGTTTTTATTCTTACAGTTAAACCTCCAGGTTTCAGAGCATGAGAAATAAATATTTTAAAATTAAAACTTATGTAATAGTCCTCCAGATGACAGCGGTATTAAGAAAAATAGTTCACTGTGTTAATTATTCTTCATACATATGTGGTAGATTATATATTCTTACCTTCTGCATACATATATTATAATAGTTAATTATAAAAATGTATAGCATTTTGAAATTAAATATTGCCTTTTATTAAACAAAACTGTTCTTTACTGTGACTGTAGAAGATAGTATTTTTGAAGGTGACAGAAAGTGCTCTACATTTTAAAATTCAGAACTTAATTTATATACAGGGAACATTCCTCATTGTCCTTTACCCAGCAACCTGAACCATTTGATGTCTCTTTTTCTTTTTAGCTACAAATGTGAACCTGCTTAAATACTTTAGAGAGTTTCAGTAAAACTTTGCTACGCTGTTTTTCCTTTATTCTTGTACTTCATTTTAAACCCCAAAATGGTTTTTCCTTAAATTCTCAGCAAAAATGTAATGGTGCTATAAGTCTCATGCTATGAAGACTTCATTATTTACATAAAATGTGATACATACATTTCCTAGTATACATTGACTTCTCATAAATTGAGTTAAGCTACATTTTTCAAAAGAAGTGACCAAAGTATGTTTAATTCATTATCTTTGCTTGTGTGTGTGTTTACTTGCTAATTTGTAAAATACAGTAATTTAGCAGAGATTTCTTACTCATTTGTGAGACTCAGATTTTACTGTACCGAAAACAGAAGAACAGATGCGCCAGTGCCTATATCATACATTAAAAATGGGTTTGAGTGTGACACATGGGACCAGATCAGTAGCAACAGAGAGGGATATAGTTTCACATCACTAATATTGAAAACTAACACTTTTTACAGGACCATTCTAATTCTAGTGTATTGACTGCACATTTAGGCAAGCAAGGGACCAATCCTGTAATCAGCCCATACTCTAAACCCCCATTGACTGCAGACTCTCTCCCTGCATCCTCCGATGAGGCTGCTTATAGTACTCTTGAATTTCAGGATCAATCCCCATTTTCCTATAGAGATTTTATTATTAAATGTGTTAGTTCTCTTAAGCAAATACAATTAAAGGTATTGGATATCAATTAAAAATGGAGAGCTTCCTAGGTCTCTATTCAACATAGATTCTCCTTTGTGTCCCCATGTTAGTATAAACGTGCACCTGCAAACTGATGACAGTTTGCCTGATAAAAGCCACTTAAGCCAGAGTAAAGATCAGGGGGCTCCAGAGCCCCCCTACCTTTGCAGAAAATTAGGTAAAGAAGGAGGATTTCAGGTGCAGAAAACTGACTGCCAAGGAGGAGAACACAGGCACAATGTGCCTCTGAACTTTTGCTAGGCCTGTCAACAAACACCACCTCAGTTTTGCTAAGCAAACCTTATTTATCCGTGTGTCCCTTAAAACTGGGAATGTTTTCAAGGCCTGTACCTTTCAGTTTTACAGAAAACAGTGAGTCAGATCTTGGTCAATGCAAAGTCTGTCTTATTCCATCTTCGTTTCCATCCTTTGGTCTTGTACCTGAGTAAGAACATAGCTGGACCCAAGGACTGAGACCTTTACTAGGGCCTGGCTTACCCGTTGATTCACCATTTTATCTTCCTACACTCCTGATACTGGTAAATGCCTCCTTACTCTTGTCTAAAATTTGTAACTACAGTCTTTACTCCACACTAATGGAAAAAAGGTATATTTGTATGGTTGCAGAGAGTACTACCATGTAAGCTGTACATTGGGATCTTACATTCAGTGCAGACTTTGGAAAGATCAATTATTTGCTTCTAAACTGAATTTTTACCTCAGAGGATAGTCTTTCAAAATGTCTAGAGGCTATCCAATGGCTACACATGCTTCTCTGATTTTAGAACAAGTCCCTTGGTGAAAGAGGGGTTGGACAGGAAATTCACAAAATGGTTTCTTTCAGACTCAAGTGACTCCTCACGTTCTCCACTCTGAATAATCCTAAATCTTCCTCTTCCAGAGAAGATCTGTAAACAGAACCCTAACCCTTCAAAATATTTCCCCTGTTAAAAGTAGTTTGAGCTACCAGATGAACAAAGAAAAAAGAAAAGGATTTACCTTCTTTCCAATTAGTTCAGTGTATGTATTGAAAATATTTATTCACTGCTGGGGCATATTTACTTCAGCTAGCAGCGTAACCAAAGAAAAATGACTAAATAAAGGAAAATTGTTTAAAGATGTAGCCCGGATCTAAAATTTGGAGGACAGTGCAGCAAATTAAAGCAGCATAGTCTAGGTATTAGAGCTGCTGAAGAGACTCAAGTGGACAAAGATAAATAATTAATTGTCTCCTTTTGTCTTCCCTTTTCATCTTATCTTTTTATTTCTCTTATCCTCTGTTACTTTCATCTCTCTTTCATGTGTCCTCATTTTGGACAAATCATTTTTTTAATTGGGGTAAAAAGTGTGTGAAAGCAGTTCTGTTCACTTTGAGGTAGTTTTGGAAAATCATCTGAAGTTCTCACCTCGGATGGATAGATATATTTAGTATTCCTTGTACTTTCCCCCTCTACCATCATTTCAGTTCTTGTGAAGTCTTCTGCTATTTTTAGACTGGACAATTTCCATTTAGCTATTTGCTTGAAATATGCTTTTTTGAGCATGCATTATGTGTCCAGTGATGACTTACCTCTTGAATTTAATAAAATTAGCCTTGTAACTTTTTATATTATGCATGAGGCATTAGTGCATTGATGTTTCCTCTTAAATCAAAGCTATCTTTAGCCTGTACTCTCAAACAGGGCTCTTACATAAGTGAAAGTTCAATATTCCTCTCCTGCTCAAGCCTTGACTAAAGATCAGGCACATCTTGTATATGTACTTCACAACATAATCATGTTCTGATATTGACCCTGCCAGCAGGTAGGGGACCTTGGGGGACAACTACTGCAGTGGTGGGGAGCAAATAAACTTTATTAAGAAAATGCAAAAACGGGGAAAATTCAATAGTGTGGGGTACAGGGTTTGTTAAGGTAGACAATTGTGGAGGGGTTTCTTTTAGTAAATAGGATAGGGGGTTTTAATTGTGGGGTCCAATACAGTGGGGTCCAATACAGTTGGTAACCAATTAACACTGAAGTATAAATGTAACAGGTAGCTAACAGTTCCTATGTAAAGGGTGTGTCACAGCAGCATATAACCAACTAACAGTTATGGGTAAAATATGTTAAATAACCAACAACTCTAGGTAAAAATATGTCACAGTGGTGTAAATGTAAAATGTGAGGTGTGTTAGAGAGAAAAAGGGTAACCAATGGGGTTTTATGCTAGATTTCAGTAATACAATTGAGGTTTGGCAGCGGCAGGAGCGGGGTGAGCACGTGCGGGAAGGGATTAAAAGAGAGAGAGAGAGAAAGGCAGTGGTAGAGGAGTGAGGTTGGGGGATGGGGGAAGAGGAGCACGTGGTGGAGCAGAGACCAAAGGCAGAGGCGCTGTGGAGGGAGATTTAAACTCAGGGAGACACAGAGAGCAGACAGGCTGCAAGTTTAAACAGCAGAGAGACTGCAACAAGTGACTTGGGAGCTCGGGGGGAGACGACGGGCAAGCGTCGGGGGGGGGGGTTAGGGCAGCGGGAAGACAGACTTAACCACAATTATACATTTTCTTTGAGAGTGTCACAATTATACAGAACACAGTAAAATCTTATCTATGATCTAACTTAACCAAGACTACACAAATTAGCAAGTAACAGAACACAATGCAACAGTTTTTTTAAACCTAACTTACAGAGCCACAATACAAACAATTCTTTAAACCTAACTTAACCACAGCTATGCAAAATGAAATTACAACTTATCTAGACTAAGAACCTGATTCTAATAGGTGCACCTTACACTATGCTGCTTCTTTGATCAGGAGGGGGAACAGTTCCGGAGGGCAGAGTGGTGTGTGCCCAGGGTACAGCCCCTGTGTGTGTGCAGGGGGACAGCTGTAATAGACAAATATCAGTTGTACTTGAAATCTCATGAATTACAAAAGGTTCCTGTGAAAATGTTACAAGTGAATGGTTAACCCATACAAGTCCTTTTTAGAGAATAAAAAAAATATTGTATGCTCCATTTATAAAAAATATAATATAGTAATTATGATGGGTTGTCACCCCCGTGGCAAAGCCTGGAAGCTGTTGGAACTGGTGTGTCCCCTGACTATCCAGCTAGGTTGACCTCTTCACCTGCTCTGCTAGTGACTCAGCCAGCCTCTCCAGGCCCTGTTATCACCCAACTCGGCAGCAGATGGTGCCACACACCCAACTGAGTTACCTGAGTGCTTTACCGAAGCCACTCATGGATCAACAATGGAAGCACTAGCTAATTTCCCAGCTCCCCAGCCTTGTACCCTATTGGAGTATAAACCCAAAATTATGCTGTCTTGCACTGCACAGGGATCTGTATGGTCCAAGCTCATTAATTAATCTGTTCCCCCCTCGATGTGGAGAAGATATGCACCAAGCCCTTGTTGACTGAGCTGAGATTTTCCCAAACACTTCACTCAAATACACACTGGTTAAGATAAAACAAGTTTATTAACTATAGAAAGAAAAATTTTAAGCGATTATAAGTGATAGCAAACAGATCAAAGCAGATTACCTAGTAAATAAATAAAAACACAATCTAAGACTATTATACTTGATAGGATTTGAATCAGCAACAGCTCACCCTGACCTATGATATAAGCAGGCTTGCAGATCCCTGAGGCACAGGTTGCATTTGCTGTGCAGTCTGGGTACCCCTCCCTCGTTCCAAATCCTTTGTCTTCCAGAGGTTCTTTCAGGTGTTGAGTTGTGGGGGAGTGAAGACAAATCATGATTTCACACCCCATCTTTTATAAATTCTTCCAGCTTGCTGGAAAGTTCATGCATGTGACGTGGGGGGGGGGTCCACCCCCATTGGCCAAACTTTCTCCATTGCCTATGTGCTCCCTCCGAAGAAACTTCCTTATACAGAGTTCCTGTGCTAGAGGATTTTCCCCTTGATGGGTGCTGAAGACAGCAATTAACATTATCTAGCTACTCCTTTGTTGTACCTGAAAGGCTTGTTGTGGGTGCTTCCAACTTCACAACATCTTTCAGTAACACATACATAGCAGAACTTCATAACTTCACATATAATAATACACAAAATCCAACAGGGTATTAATGTTTAACATATTAAGACTTTTAGAATGATTCC